ACATGAAAGAGTCATAGTCACAGGGGAGGAGGCTGGCAATATGTATGTGAATAATCTCCTTATTAGATCTTATTCAAGTGGGGGAGTGTTGGGGAAAATATTGTGATATATATATCTGATTAATATGTGCTTGATTAAGTCTGTGTGTATGGGAGATCATGAATTATCTTTAAAGGGAGTTTCTGTTTAGATAGTTGGAAATATACAGCTCCTGAAAGGCACCGATCACATTTACATATCAACTGGTCTACAAAGGAGTCTCTATCTAGGAAAACACACCTTAGGTTAGAGGCAAGGGGATGGCTTGGAGAGTTTACACATAAATAAAATAACAGGATAGACAACACTTTGGGCCTTGGGAAAGTAAATCACATTTACATATCAATTGAGCTGAGGAATTTGCTATTTACAACATGGGAACCAGTTCCTTTAAAAATAGAAGATACTGACATCACATTAGACTAGGTTGGTAAGACACACACGATGCACACAACATCTCACAGCACATACACAATGTAGCAGATATTATTAGATATAGGAATGTGTGAGCGTTATCAATGTATTGTAACGTTGTAATACTAGAACTCTAACATTCTTCTTCTGTAATATTTAACTGGGCAGATTCTAAGTAAAGAGTTCTCTCTGGTAATCTCTCTGGTGCTGGCTGTTTATTTCAGGTAGAATACCTTATTAGTGCTAGTCATATATTTATCTGGACAAGGGGATAAAGATATATGTTAGTTCTTGGGTGACACAGGGATATTACATTCACTATTAATACACAACGCAGAGTGGATTTCTCTCAAAAGTATACCAATTGGAAGTATTGGTGGTGAGAGAAGAATTATACAGCACTAATGATAACAGTATTTGTTTTTAAAACATAAAAAACTTACAATGCACTGTTCCAAATTATTACGCACAGTAAGTTTCAAAACACTTTATAGCTTGTAAAGAACTGAAAATTGTCATTTGTTGTGTTTGCTGCATTTTTACTGAAATAAAAAGCTATTTCAATCAAACTTATAACAACATTTTAACTTTTTAAACATTTTTTTCATTATTTTTTTTATTATTTTTCGAAACATTATCACAATAGACAATAAAAGACTTACATTTAAAGATATAATCAAAAGACAGTACAACCATAAATACATTCCGACAGTTCTAGCGCTGTAAGATACCAAATTTTAATTTTTTTCCCTTAATTATCACCTTATTTATAAATTAGTCATCATACTAAATTTTGTGTTTTCACTTCGACTTGAGAGGACCTTAAATAGTTATTCACGGTCTATGACAAACAATGTAAACATAAAAACATACAAACATAAAGTCATACTGTGCCGAGATCTATAAATCCTAACAGATAGTGCCCTACTATAGAGCTTGATATTTTCCCCTTTTCTTTTCCTTTTCTCTTACTTTCTCTCTTTTCTTCTCCTTTTTTTATAAAATATACGCTATAAATAGCCATTAGACAGCTTTATATAGAGATGCAAAATATAGAAACATTAGAACCATATGAACATATCAACAGTGTTAGTTCTCTGGGATATAGAAACATAGAAACATAGAATGTGACGGCAGATAAGAACCATTCGGCCCATCTAGTCTGCCCAATTTTCTAAATACTTTCATTAGTCCCTAGTATTATCTTATAGTTAGGATAGCCTTATGCCTATCCCACGCATGCTTAAACTCCTTTACTGTGTTAACCTCTACCACTTCAGCTGGAAGGCTATTCCATGCATCCACTACCCTCTCAGTAAAGTAATACTTCCTGATATTATTTTTAAACCTTTGTCCCTCTAATTTAAGACTATGTCCTCTTGTTGTGGTAGTTTTTCTTCTTTTAAATATAGTCTCCTCCTTTACTGTGTTGATTCCCTTTATATATTTAAATGTTTCTATCATATCCCCCCTGTCTCGTCTTTCCTCCAAGCTATACATGTTAAGATCCTTTAACCTTTCCTGGTAAGTTTTATCCCGCAATCCATGAACCAGTTTAGTAGCCCTTCTCTGAACCCTCTCTAAGGTATCAATATCCTTCTGAAGATACAGTCTCCAGTACTGTGTACAATACTCCAAGTGAGGTCTCACCATTGTTCTGTACAATGGCATGAGCACTATAGAGTTATTAAAACATTTTTCTAATTTGTCTCTATATTCATTAGTTATTTGTCATACTAAGTTTATCGTCTTTACTTCTTCTCAAGGAAATTTTAAGTTATTATTCACTACCTATATTTAACAGTAATGTCCAATATACATACTGTACCAAGATCAAATAATAGATATAATTGTTTTTCTTATGTAGAGCTTAATTTTTGTACCCATTCCTCCCATTGTTCTATTCTAGAATTAGTATAATTATCTTGTCTCAGGATTCCAATCTCCATTTTGCAATGGTTCAGGACCTGATATTTTATCATATCCCAAGAGGGGGAATCAGATCATTTCCAGTATCTCGCTAATGTTGCTTTAATCTCTGTTAAAATGTGTATCACTATATCTTTTTTACTTGAGATTCTAGGCCAACCCAGATGTAGCACAAAAGACCTACAAGTAAAATCTAGATCTACTTTTATCACCTCTTGACAGAATTTTGCTACTTTATTCCATAATTGACTTAAATATGGGCAAGACTACCAGATATGGACATAGTCTGCTCTAAGTGAGCCACATCTCCAACACTTATGTTGAGAGGATGGGTACATTTTTACCAATTTAGTGGGGACATAGTGCCATCTATTAATGATCTTATAATGACTTTCAGTTGAATTTAAACAATGAATAGCCTTAGTTACGGCATTATTTGCATTTATCCACTCAGTTCTTGTAATCTGTAGATCTTTTTCCCATGAAACAAGGGCTGGCCTGGGAATATTGGACTTGATTTATATAATTTATGTAATTTAGCACAATGTGATACTAAATTTTTATTACTTTTAGAATTAATTAGATTCATGAATAGATGTAATCCTTCAGATGATTCTATAACCCTATGTTTATATAAAACATGCTTTATCCTTAAATATGTAAAATTCTCTCTATAGGGAAGAGAAAATAACTGCCTAGTGTCCTCAAAACACATAATTTGATTCTGTTGCAATATTTGATCTATTTTATTAATACCATTAAACGTCCAGGTTTTTACATTTAAATCTTCTATATTGACTGTCAAAATGTTGAGAGGTAAATCCGTAATAATTTTATCCAGTATCTTAAGTCTCTTTTTCCAATTTTTCCACTGCAATAATAAATTATCCATAATTAGGCCTATATTTATGTTATTTCTCTTTTGTAGGCTCCAAAATATAGCTAATAAGTCTGGAGATCCCAGTCTTGTAGCTTCCATTTTTGACCATGCTTCCTCTGCAGAGCTCTCTTTTAACGATATAATTAAATGAGCCAATACGCATGTCTCATGTATCTAGAATGTCTGGGACCCCCAACCCACCCTTTTTTGAATTCATTTTTTATTCACCCTTGTTTTTTTTTTTCCCAGCCATATAAACTTCTCAAAAGCTCTCTGTATCATCATAAGCCATGGTTTGGGAATTTTAAGAAGTATCATGCAGAATATATAGCTCCATTTGGGCATTAAGTATGATTTTACAACATTTATTCTCCCAATCCATTATATCTCTGCAGTTCTTAAGTCTTTAAGTTGTTTATTTATTTGTTTCATCATAGGGAGAATATTATTCTCTATAATTTTGTTTGGGTTACTTGTTATTTTAATACCTAGATATTGCAAATGTTTCTTAGCCCAAGCAAAGTCATATTTATTCCCAATCTTTCCTCTATCTTCCTTACTTAGATTTTTTGCTAATATAGTTGTTTTATCTACATTCAACTTGAGATTAGAGTAGTTTCCAAATTCGCTTATAACTTTCATCAATTCATCCAATGATGGTACTGGATCTGTGATGGTGATTAGGACATCGTCCGCATACAGTGATAATTTGTAGTCTTCTTGACCTATTCTAACTCCTTTAATCTTGGGTATGTCCTAGTCCTGAAAGCCTTTCACCATGGCATACGAGACAACCCCAACATCAAAGACATAAGAGTGGGGGGAACTGAGCATAAGATCTCCGCTTTCGCGGATGACATGCTGTTCACAGTTTCGGACCTGACCAACAACCTGCCATAAACAGTGGGTGCAGCTTGAAGACTCCTTCTTTAATGTCCCCATCTACACCATCCCGTGGCACAAATTCGGGGAGTTATTTCTACGCCACCAAGCACACCCGACCATAACACCAACTTTGAGGATGTGAAAACCACATGCGAAACCACAAACTCGTCTTACCGTATCCAACGCCATTATTCCCGATAACACACAATCCACTTTTCAAACCAGGAAAGCATACCTGGACTATAATATGTCCCCCTATCTGATGCTGGGAGACATGGTAGATGATACCGGGGTAAAACCCCTGCACACTTTTCTCCTCAACATGACCCATTCATCCCTACAAAAATTTCAATACAACCAACTAGTACACTTCATCCAGACTGGACGGTACACACATGAGGGACTCCGGACACACACCACATTTGAACGCTAATGTCAAACACAATCACTCAAAAAGATATTGATCTCCACCATGTACACAATACTCTCCACCACCCAACCGAATCATCTTCCATGCTATACAACTAGTTGGGAAAAGGAACTCCACATCTCCATCACACCAGAACAATACACATCTCTTCTCGAAACCTAGCAGCTCAAGAGAGCAACTACAAGAGAATAGCGAGGTGGCACTACATAACTGCAAAACTTCTAACACTATACCCACACACGGCCAACCATTGCTGGAGATGCCACCTCAGCACACATATGGTGGACGTGCCCAGAAATACAGGAATTTTGGTTACGGGTAGCGGGGCTAGCTCAAACGATTCTCAAAACCACAATGCCCCTCAGGCCCAACACCTTCCTATTCCTCCTACTTCCGAACAACACACCCAAAGTTAAGACATCCGTACTCCATCATTTAATTACAGTAGCAAGCCAACTGATCCCTCTATTCTGGATAAAGCCAAACCCACCGTCTATAAGGGACTGGATCCAGAAAGTTGAAACCACTAGACTCCTTGAGGAAACATGTTACTCCATGACCAAACAGTACCACTACTACACTCTCACCTGGGCCCCCCGGTGTAGTTATCTTAGGGACAACCCAACACAAACCCACCCTATCACTCAAACTGCACTCCCCAACCCACACAACCCAGCATGAACCGAACCCGTACAAGACCCAAGCAGATAGAAGCGGAGAGTAGTCGTCTCCGCTGTCAACCTGGGACCAACACCCACCATGGTACTCCCCAGAGCTCTGAACTCATATGGAGCCCACACCCAATGTACACCGGATACATGCCCCCCCACCCACACAGCAAAGAGTACCATGACCTCCAAATCAGCACCAGGGAGACCTCCCTAGAACAGGAGAGTGGGGAGGACCACACAACCCCAAATTACATCGGGGCGATACGAGACGGGATGCATGACCTTCGTATAGACCTTTAGAGCAAACAGGCCGACCTTCCCCTGCTCACACCCTGTAAGGGTTAAAACGCTCCTTTCAACCCCACTGAGTATTCCTCCCTCACCCTCCAGACCAACCCCTCCTACACACAAACCCTGGGCATTATGCCACCCTCGGGACACACCAGAGTGGCAGACACCCTGCTCCAGCAAACATAGCCTATAACTCATGACCCCTCAGTGTATATAATTACTCCCCCTGAGTAAAAGGATACTCCCACCCATATGGGTTACTAATGCATTACCTTGTGTATCGATGGACGACCGATACTACGCTGAAATGCCATCATATGTCCATTGTCCCAGGATGTATCACTGTTATACTATGTACCGACTTACCTAACATGTTATACTATGTACAGATCTACCTAACATGTAATGTCTTTATAATTCCGAATAAAAACTTTAAAAAAAAAAAAATGACTACCCAAATGTTTGACAAAGACTTGTGGTAGAATTAGTGCATGGAAAGTGTTAAAATACCACCATTTGAAATACCGAAAAACCTAAAAAAAGTTGGCATGTAATGCGGTTTGGGCACTCGGACTCAAAAAGGCTCGCCATCACCGCCCTAGGGTTAACAAAAGAAATAGGGGTATATTCGCTAAACAATTGAATATTTAACATGCAGACATGTTATATCAAATCTTAAATAAGACTAGATGCTAAAAGAATAAAGGAAAAGGGTAAAATATTTCGCGGTTTTCTAAGTCCAAAGTCCTCCACTAAGCGGTTTTTCATGAGGTAGTCAATTTGTTATCGTAGTGGTATTTAACAATGTATTAGCTTAATGAAAGTGTAGTGAAGTAAACCCTAATATGGTAAAAAGTCTAGGGACTTCCTAAATAACCTGAATAATTTTATTATTAGGATAAAATCCAGTATATGGCATCAGCACTAATACAACTTAAAAATCTTAATTGTTTGTATAGTCCAGATGATTATTTCTGTGTCAGGATCCCACTGTGGGGTAAATCTATAATGAGAATAGCAGAGACATAGTGCTCTCTGGTAAAACTTTTATTTGAGTAAAAATAGGATAAAACACACAAGATGCAGGTATAGTTTGCACATCGCCTGGTGGAAAATTGGTATCAGTTTGTATGTCCCTTGAGTCCTTTCTCCTCTTTGCCGGCTCTGGGAGAGAGTGGGGATTTGAATAATGTGTTTGCCGCTGGAAATTCCTTACATGGGGTGAGCTGCTGTACGTTCCACTTTCTGCACTTGTCAGTGAAGTGTTGATTATTATGCGCGTTTTGTGATTGCTTGAATCTCTGCATCAGAGGTCTTATCTAGTCTTATTTAAGATTTGATATAACATTTTTGCATTTTAAATATTCAATTCTTTAGTGAATATACCCCCTTTTCTTCTTGATTAGCTTTTACTAAGGGGATTTATTCCTTTAATACCATTTATCTCCTATTCCTGGTTCAAGTAGTGAAACAACTTCTTGCTATTTTTCTTATTTTTTTCTAGATTCGGGTGGGACTTTTTATAACTCACCGCTTGTAGTAGATGTGTTGATTTTACTATTGATTTTACTACTGTATTCATTGCCCACAATCTGTTCTATCCTCTACTTTGCACTTTATTGCCATATCCTGTATAGCCCGTCTCCTCTTCCTACCCCATGTCTCACAGGACAGTTCTATACCATTGTACCACTCAGGTTTTCACTAATTTTACTGCCCTAGGGTGTCTACTTTTCATAAATATATGGTTTGTTGGGAGTAAATTACATTACATAATTACATTATTTCAAAAATGTCCCAAATAGGACATGGATGCATGATGACCAGCTGTGAAAATTCAAACTTTGAAAACCGGAATGCGCACCCTCTTAATAAGGTTTATTAGCCCCCAGAGAACACGACACACCTTTACATGGGTGGTATCACATATTGGGGTGTTCTTGGGCAGTAATCCTTAAAGTTCTCAGTACATGTATTCTTAAATTGCTATGTGTGTCAAAAAAATCATTATTTCTTTCTTTTTAAATTTGGCATAGATTGGTGTTAAAATGGTTGCATGAAAAGAGTAAAAATACCCTGAGTGGTTATGGCACTTGCAGTGTTCCTTAAACACCCACCCCTAATGTAAATAAAATAAATGGATGCTAAATTCTCTGTTCTTAAATAGTGAAAACATAAGCACCTGGGGCTTGGGTCACCTAGGGATTTGACCCCCTCAATCCTATCCCAAACCCCAAATTTAATGATCTTCCTCTCCTGATCCTGCTAACAAATGGTATTAGCTACACAAAATGTAAAAACAAAAGTGGAAAAATAGATTTAATACTTGCTTGGACATCTGTTGGTTTCTGTTTTAGGATTGAGTGGTAATTATTGTATAAGGGTATAGGGGCTTGGCGCATTTTACCCTATACAGTTGCAAGAAAAAGTATGTGAACCCTTTGGAATGATATGGATTTCTGCCCAATTTGGTCATAAAATATGATCTGATCACATTTTATGACCAATTTGGGCAGAAATCCATATCATTCCAAAGGGTTCACGTACTTTTTCTTGCAACTGTAGGTATAAGGATCAAGAGACATGGCATCCACTGGTTCAGTTACGATTAGGCATTGTGGTTTGGGCCGTCTGGCCCTATAATTATTCTAGGTGCCACCCTACGAAATAGGGGGTTGAGTAAGGGGCAAGAGCCATGCACCTTGGCACATTCTGATTCCCTCCAGTGACATTTAAAGGCACACTATAGTGTTAGGAATACAAAACTGTGTTCCTAACACTTAAGTTTCCCTATGCCTCTTGATTCCACCCCCTCCCCCATGCATGAAATGGTAAAATAATTCTGTAAAGTTTAAACACTTTTTGTAATACTGTTTGTTTTATTTATTTCCCAGGAGAATCAGAACATTTTTTGTAACATAAACTCTACAATTTGACTCACAAGTAAGTTTTTATACTATTTATTTAATTTCAAAAAAGTGTACTATACTACTTACACACCATAATCAAAATGCTCTATCAGCACAGTCAGATAACCTATAAGCGAGCCTAAGGCACCCACCTAGGTATCAGACTGAACCTTTCTGTTCATGGACCAGTGGCCTTGTCACCTGCGATATGCAGAGAGGTGATGCTTATATGTCCGTTGGTGCACACAATGTTTTAATGTGCCCAGCTAGTGAGTCAGGTCAGATGAGTAGTGAGGTAATAAATTGTGGATGATGCATCTAAGTATCTGTGTAAGCCCATGTCCCTGTATGAGGGACTGAAATTGTTAACCTGTCTAGGAACCGGTGAGATATAAATCCAACTCTGTGTAATAAACAGAAACGAACTGGCAAAAAAATAGAACTGTGGGGCACACTCAGAATAGGCATTTTATAATGATGGTGCTGATTTGAAGAAAAAAAAACAAAGTATATGCCAAATACACATCACTGTTCTTTTACTGTATATTGAACATATCAAATTTGTTAGTTTGTATCATCTTCATGGTTACAAACATATGTAAATCACTTGAAAACATTGCTATGACAGCAAAGGGAACTCTCTTAGGTCGCTATAGAACTGGAATTAATGAAGCCCAACAAAAATATGGATGTGGTATGACTGTTTGTATATTGGATTTCATTATTGAAAAGTATTAAATGTGATATAGATTCAGTTAAAAAGGTTAAAAAGCTTGAATGGCATGTATTTTGAAACGGGGCTTAAGTCAGCTTAAGTCAGTTTACACCCTCAGCCAATGTACTAAGCCCTGAACTGCAAGGCTTAGTTTAGGGGAGCTAATAGAAGTTCCTCCTCAAGAACTTCTGGCCCTCAATGCCTGTCCCTCAGAGCAAATTAATCTGTATTGTATTTAGCGCATTCAAAGCTCGAAATAATTAGTTTTACAATTATTACAAATTAACAGTTATACAAAGTGAATTTTCCTCCCAAACAAAAATCAACATACAGCATCTAAAATAATATAATTAAGGAATACTAATACAAATATGTATTCCTAATGCTATAGTGCCCTGTTTGCCGTTTAGGTCACTGGGTCCAAGCGGTAGGGAGTAAAAAAGGTGGTTACTTTCCTTTTCTTCATTTTGACTAATGTCTTTACAATCTCACTAACGTTTATTCCTTGTTATATGTTCCCCTAAGAGAACTTAATATCTAAATGATGTAGATTGATTTTCTTAATATCACTTTCAATAACATCACTTTTTAATCTAGTTGAACAGCCATGTTGGGTCAGACAATACTGTTACCTGACCAATGGCCGCTCAACTAACGTGCCTGGTCCAGCAGTTTCACAGCAATCACAGCAGCAGTTAAGGAAAGATGAGTGGCAGTCAATCAGAAAAGAGTAGAGTTTTCATGTTCACTTATGTCTTCATAATTTTACTTTCCATGTTATATGTTTGTTTGATGTTGATTCCATGTTATATGTTTTACTTAGTGAACCTAATACGGACAAAGTTCTCAGAGCTCACCCAGAGATTAGGAAGGGTAATTGCTAAACAGATTGCTGATGAGCTTTATGCACAATGCATCCTTTCTATGGACGAGATGCAGTTTGTACTTTCTGCAAAGGTAGATCAAGATGTCGCAAGAGAATTGGTTACTATGATTTTAAAAAAAGGGAATGAAGCCTGCATATGTTTTCTGAAATTGCTTGAAAATCGAGATCCACATTTCTATCACGATCTGATTGGACAAAGTGAGTATTATATCTAATATGTTTTATGCTAAAAAAAATTCTCTTATTGCACTTGATGCCTTATTACAAATGTGATAAAAATATGAGATAATAAAAAAATTGTATTATTTTTATTAAATTGTGTTAAATATTGATAAATTGCAATTATAGCCCTCCACAGCAAATATATAGCCCCATGTTATCCATTGATGTGTTGGGACCTCAGTAAAGGTCCTTTCATTAAACAAAATATGTATCATATTAATAGTTCCTTAAATGACTGGATATATTTTTTTGTGCACACTTGCATTTTCTGATAATCATAGACTATTTTGAGCCAGATAAATTTAACATCAGCAACCCTTGCTTGGTTCCAATTTATTTTGTCACATTAATGCATTCTCTCTACCTAAGTATTCCATTATTCCCTATCTTAAACAATCCCTATTCCAACAGCATGTGCATAATCATATAAGTTAAAAGTGTCCACCAACCATTTACACTTCCACGGTTTCTGTTGCTGATCCAAATTAAGGTGAAAACCCCAATTTGAGATCATTTCCATTGTGTCCCTGAAAGGGGGAAAATAATTCTTCCCCACTCTTTCTCTGTGTATATCTGGTTAGCATTAGAAGATTGTATTTTTTGACCTCATTATTTTACATAATATGTTGTACAAAGGATTTAGATAGTAAACCCTACTGCAATGTAGTTGCACATGACTATGATTGAGATGGAAAAAATCCGTCGTGGCCAAGCCCTTCCCTCCCCTTCACCATCAATGTTTAACTGTCTCCCAGACATCTACCTGTTCTCCAAATGTTGAATCCCTACCTGTAGACTAGATGTCCTCACAACAGTTCTGCTTAGGGAGTAGTAACTCCTCAGCTGCAATTGCTACTATGGTGTAGGCTGTGTTCTACATGTAACGACTGTGAATTTAGTTCTCCAACTTTGATAGCACTTGTCATTAATCCAGAAGCAGCAATACTTTGGAAAACTAAATATGTAATTACCTACAATGCTCTCACTACAGTGTTGCTTGACTGTTGTGACAGTTTTACATGATAACCCAGTGGGAAAGATCTTGAATGGATGAAATTACCTTACTTTCTTGTTGATCACTTATAGAACTAATGTTTTCTCTCTAATGTCCCATTAATTTAGCAGCAGAATGATTTCTTATTTAAAGGAATGCATTTTATTCTAGATAATAACAGACTGATTTCTAATTCTCTCATTAGATACGATAGGCATTGATACAAAAAAGGAATTAGAAGATTTGTCTAAATATTTAAAGAATTTATATCAATCCCCGTTGTTTCAAAAATTTAATCCTCTGGGGGACGAAACAGGTATTGATATCTTATTTGATTTGGAGACAACATTTAAAGATCCCTTGTTATGGGAAAAAGACACACTTAATCGCAAGAAGAAACAGCTAACCCTAGCGGAAATTTTAAACAAGCTCAGAAGTCCTTGTATTATTGAAGGAGAAGCAGGGAAAGGAAAAACAACTATTCTCAAGAGAATTGCTCTCATGTGGGCCACTGATGAATGTAAAGCATTATCAAATTACAAACTTGTTTTTTTTGTCACTCTTCAAAGTGCAAGTGATGCGCTGTATGAAACTCTAGATGACCAACTTTTCCCCATTAATTCACAATGGCAAAAAAAAAAGTTCATGGATGAAATATGGAAACTAGGGCAAGAGGTGTTATTCTTATTGGATGGTTATGATGAATTTCAAGCTGACAGCTGCAAACAAATCGATGAACTTATAAAACAAAATCCCAGATTCAATAGTACAGTTATTGTTAGTACAAGAACAGAAACAATAGGGAAAGTTAGAAAATTTGGAGCTTTGATAGTTGAAACAAGCGATTTCACTGAAGAAAGTGCTAAAGAACTGATTGAAAATGTTCTGGTGGAAGATGAAGCTAAGGACTTGTTGGCCACTTTAGAGGATTCTATTTTCATTAAAAATCTCATGAAGACACCTTTGTTTGTAGTAATAGCCTGTGCCTTACGGATGGGGGAAAAAGATTTCCAGATGAACACCCAAACAGCTTTGTTCTGCACTTTATACGAACTGATGATTGAAAGAGGCAAGTACAAAACTAGTAAAATAAAAAAACATATTGTAAAAGAGAACATCAAGTGCTGTGGAAACTTAGCTTTAAGAGGATTGTTTGATCATATGTTTGACTTTCGAGAGAATCACTTGCCCGATATCCAAGAAGATGTGTTGTTGAATATTGGCCTCTTGAATAAATATACTGCCCAGAGACATAGACCTACTTACAGATTCTTCCATAAATCCTTCCAAGAATATGTGGCAGGAAGAAGACTCTCTCAGTTGCTATGTTCTGAAGAGACAAGAGATGTTAATGAAGGGCAGTCATACTTGAACAGAATAGACTCCATTCACGACATTACTAATAAGTACAGCAATCTACTTTTATATACTTGTGGATCATCCAAGACAGCCACTCATAAAGTTCTAAACCACATTGTTGCAGTATGCAACAAAGATATTACTATCAACAGTATTGATTTAGCTGAGTTTGGAGTTAATCTTTTTTATGAAAGCTCAACCAAAACAGAGTTGAGTAACGAATTTAAATCACTTTTTGCAGATAAATATTTATACATTAACACCAACAACATATCATCCCAGCATTTTGAATTCTTTGAGCACTTACCAAATTGTCTAAGTGCATTGGAAATTATCAAGTTGGAGTTATCTGGAATTTGTGAAAGTAACCCTTCAAAACAAAGAACTCCAAATGATCAGATCAGCACTTACATTTCTGAAAAGGCAGTAAAACTATTTTTTAATTGGAATCAAAATCTACAGACACTAGAAGTCACACTTAAGAACTTTGATAAGCTAAATAGACAAGACATACGGTACCTTAGTAAAATATGCTGCTCGGCTAGACGCCTGAGACTCAAGATAAAAAAGAGTGCAGGAGTCACTGGTGCTATTACAGGCATTCTGGAGTCTTGCAGAAACCTGCAAGATCTAATTGTTGACCATACACCACTTTGTATTGAAGATGAGAGAAGAATTGCAGATATGGCAGTAATAAGAACATTAAGTATTTCCAATATGCAACTTCAACACCAACCAGGTAAACAAATGTGTCTTTTTGTTCTTTCTCCTGAGACTTTATGAAACAATAAGTACTTATAGTTGCTTAGAAATGAACCAACCCAGTCATTAATCAACAACAGATAATTTAAAACTGTACACATATATATATAATCTAGTAATCTGTGAGTTGTTGTGCCCCCTCCTTCAAAATAACAAACAAAAAACATAGACCTAAAAAACACCTATGGTTTATTTCAATGCTTGTTGGTAAAAAAAAAAAAGGGATGTTATTTGTTAATACCAGCAGACAGTAAATGTTTGCATCTAAAATAAGTGTTTACTTGGGTCCACCTTTGTATTTAAGTCTGCAAGTTACTCGGGTCCACCTTTACTTTCCGACCACCAATTAGCGTTTTCTGTTACAAAAATGTACGTCAAGAAAAAGAACTCCAATTATTTGTTATAGCAATTCCAATATGACACTTTAAACTGTGATGATTATGGTGTCCTAGTGAATTTGCTTTGAGAACACCAGCAATTGTATAATGTTCTGAGGAGAGGTGCTATAGCCAGGACAGTATTAAAATATTAATTCAGTGCATGCACACTTTATTTGCTTTAACTGTTATACACCAGTCTTGACAAACTTCACAATTCTCTAAAACAGGGTTCTCCAAACTCTGGCCCTCCAGATGTTGCTGAACTACAACTCCCGTGGTTCTTTGAATAAAATAGACAACCAGAGAATCATGAGAATTGAAGTTCAGTAACATGTGAACTGCTCTCTAACCATTACTTTTTCTAAATTATGAGTGCAACAAGGTGGACATTGCATACAATATTTTACATGTATAGAAAGCACATGCAGCATGAATATTTTACATTTTATTATGAACAATAGTGTGTATATTTGATTATTAATTAGATATCTTTTATAGATGGTCTTCTCTGTGGAATATGTAAATTAGTGAACATTGAAAAATTAATTTTAGAAAACATAAAAATGGATGAGAAGGATGCACAAATACTTGGTGAGTATCACAATGTTTTATTAATGTATATAAATATTTCTGGACCAGGACATGAATATTGTTATGTTATCAATAGTTTGCAACCTGTTATTACTCAAAATTCCGAATTTGCAACACACACAGATCCCTTTTTAAAATGATAGTTCTTGACATTATAATGTTAAATAGTTCCACAATTAAAAAAAAAAAAAAAGTCTACATTTTTCCCAAACAAATATATACATTATCTGTAGGTTGTAGGTTGTTTAAATACAACAAAATACAGAGCTATCAAATGTAAAACAATTGCTACACAATATCTTTTCCTGTTTGGAAAAAAGTAAGCCCAGTATTGAATCAGCAAAAAATAAAATAAAATAATATAAGTAATTATATTTACAGCTGAATTACACACACTCAGGAGTAGTTCAAATACATTTTGTTTCTTTCTCTCGGTTGCAGAATATTTATCCAGATTTGTTGTACAGTATATGTGTAAAAGAGGTTACGCCTCATAAACTATACTGCACTCATATACAGTGGTGTATTTTGGATTTGTGCTGCCCTAGTCTTAACTAAATTCGGGCACCCCCAAAATCTAAATTTGACCCCCCAATTCGTGTCAAGACGACTTTTGTGACTGACAGACAAATGCCCTCATTGATACATGCACTGATACACTCACTGAGAGATACACATTCATTGGCACACACATACAGTCATAAGCACACACTGTTTAACCAACACACACACTGACACACTCACTCACTGACAGGCACACACTCTCAGATACACATAAAATGACATACACACACTGACACACACTCACAGGCACACCCATTCTCACTGAAACACACACACACACTTTCACTCACTCACAGACACTCACTGACAGCTACACTCACTCACTCACTCACTCACACACCCACAGTAAGGTGCACAGCCCCAGAACACAAGGCAAGCAAGGCATTTGTCTGGGAGCTTGGGGTGGCATTTTTTGGCGCCCCCCTGAAAGTGCCGCCCTAGGCAAATGCCTTATGGTAAATACATCCCTGCTCTTATATATGACATATTATAGGGCATTTTGATATGTTCTTGTAGTGTCTGTGTAATATAGAGGTATGCAGCCTCCTGTCACTGTTTCACTGGGCAGTATTATTATGCATAAGCCTATTCTATTGCTATGTATGTTATCTTTAGTATAAAAATATATGTGTATAAAATGTTTTATGGCTGTCTGTTATGTAGCTGTCTGATAGCCCTGTGGTTTGTGAGAGAGTAAAATATTTTAATCCAATCTTACTCACATGCATATATTGGTAATTCAAATATAAAATAATTTCATACTAAAATTGTTTTTATTAAATTTACAGCTTTAGGTATTGAAAAATTAAGCAAATTAAAAATTTTGAATTTAGCCATTTTGCCTGAAATTGGGAAAGGCATTGAATACATAGCTCGAGCTATTGCATCCAGCTGTCCACAGCTTGAAGAACTCAAGCTATCTAACTGCAGTTTGACTGGGAATGCACTGAAGATTATTTGTAAGTACTAGGTTCCTAATGTTTTACAATACATCCTTATCTTCTATTGCAATAACGAGTGGATACATTTAGTGTGTAACCATAAAACATTTAAGGGAAGAAATTACTGCTCGTGGTAAAATACAAAAAATTTTTTTTTTGTTAGGCCAATTATTGGTTTTCCAAACAAAAAGTTTCACATTTTACTATGGCGTTTAACTCCAGTAGTGGTGTAAAGTTTTTTGGACAATAGAGGTACAAAAGTACAGTTAAAGTTGTGTTTCTTGCTGACGATGACTCTTGCGTGTGCTAAATGGCACTTGCTAAAACTAACATCAAAAGAAAGGAAATTACAAAATGTTTTTATTGGTTCTGATAAATGCAGTCATATGCAAGAAAATTATTCTACAAAAATCCTATTTATGATGGACCATGTGTGGTATGGGTTTCCTTTTCTGATTTCGGATGTTTAGGTTTTCTTTTTAGGGGTAAAAGAGGAGATAGTGGTCATCCCTGTTGAATATCATTTGACATATTAAATAAAATAGAGTAGAATATTGAGGAAATATTAAATCAAATAGAGCATAATATTAATTAGGATATTAATAGGGTTATTTACTGAAGTGACAATTCAAGGTGAATGCAAAGTGAATTTCAAATGTAAGGCCAGACTAGCCAAACTGATAGCATAGCTGACTTGAAATTCACTTTGAGTTCTCACTTTAGTAAATAACCCTGTAATACCTTTGCTTTTGAATCTAATTAAAGAGCAAGCATGGTTGTAATATATGACTGAGAAAAATTGTAGCATCTCAAGACTTCGTGCGTATAACTCCAGAGCAGTCTGTTGAATGTCAGTGCCTTATCTCCTTTTCTATGATTGGAGAAGGCAATCGTTTTTTTTCAGGGCTGATGTATTGTGTTGTATTGTGATCAATAAATTGCTTAAAATACTGCCAGGTTACAGGTCATGTTAGTTTCTTCAGCTTTATATTTACAAAAGTCTCTTAGTGGGAACCTCTAATAGTATTACTTAGTGACTGAGATGCTCAATTGTATGCTGGCTGGGTTAGATTGATAGATACACAATTAGTATAGGTTCTCTTTGTAATGGCACATGTAAAATGTAATTTATGGGAGTTGGAATTAACAGTAGGGCAAGCTGTTAAAGGGACACTATAGTAACCAAAACAACTTTAACTTAATGAAGCAGTGTGGGTGTATACGTCATGCCTCTGAAGTCACACTGCTCAATTCTCTGCCATTTTGAAGTTAAATTGCTTTTGTTTCTGTTTATGCAACCATAGCCACACCTCTCCTTCCTGTGACTGACAAAGTCGGCATGAATTTTATTTTAAATTTTTACCATCAAATACAACTTACTTTAAAATTATTTAGCTCCTGCTATGCATTTTGGAACTTTAATTACATACAGGAGGATCCTGCAGGGTCTAGCAAGCTATTAACAGGGCAGGAGATAAGAAATTCTACATTAAACCGAATTTGCAATAAAGGAAGTGTAAACATTAGATGACTCTTTACAGGAAGTGTTTAAGAAGGCTTTGCAAATCACATGCAGGGAGGTGTGACTAGGGCTACATAAACAAACTGATTTAACTTGTAAATGGCAGAGCATTTAGCAGTAAAACGTCAGGGGCATGATTTATACACCAAAGCTGCCTTATTAACCCCTTAAGGACTGAGCCAAATGTACACGTTGTGAACGAAACAAAATGTAAACAAAACCTGGCATTTGCGCTACATGTCTGTCCAACCGTAATTCACCTCTTTCATATTAAATGCACCCACCCTTATTATATATCATTTTATTCAGGGGAAACAGGGCTTTCATTTAATATCAAATATTTAGCTATGAAACATAATTTAATATGAAAAAAATGTGAGAAAATAAGATTTTATTTGATTTTTTTAGTTCTACATGACATTTTAACTGTCAATGTCATAATACTGTTTGCTTTTACTGCAATAAAATACACATATTTGTATTCAGCAAAGTCTCACGTGTAAAACAGTACCCCCTATGTACAGGTTTTATGGCATTTTGGGAAGTTACAGGGTCAAATATAGCATGTTACATTTGAAATTGAAATTTGCCAGATTGGTTACGTTGCCTTTGGGACTTTATAGTAGCCCAGGAATGAAATTTACACCCATAATGGCATACCATTTGCAATAGTAGACAACCCAAGGTATTGCAAATGGGGTATGTCCAGTCTTTTTTAGTAGCCATTTGGTCACAAACACTGGCCAAAGTTAGCGTTAGTATTTGTTTGTGTGAAAAATGCAAAAAATGCCAATTTTGGCCAGTGTTTGTGACTAAGTGGCTACTAAAAAGACTGGACATACCCGTTTGCAATACCTTGGGTTGTCTACTATTGCAAATGGTATGCCATCATAGGGGTAATTTTCATTCTTGGGCTACCATAGGGTCTCAAAGGCAACGTAACCAATCTGGTGAATTTTAATGTGAAAAAAATGAAACGCAAGCCTTATATTTGACGCTGTAACTTTTGAAAACACCATAAAACCTGTACATGAGGGGTACTGTTGTACTCGGGAGACTTCGCTGAACACAAATATTTGTGTTTCAAAACAGTAAAAAGTATCACAGCAATAATATCGTCCGTGTAAGTGCTGTTTGTGCATGAAAAATGCAAAAAACTTCACTTTTACTGGCGATATCATCGTTGTAATACATTTTACTGTTTTGAAACACTAATATTTGTGTTCAGCGAAGTCTCCCGAGTAGAACAGTACCCCCCATGTACAGGTTTTATGGTGTCTTGGAAAGTTATAGGGTTAAATATAGTGCTAGCAAATTAAATTCCCTTTACTTTGGCATGGGTTGTCAGGCAGGTCCCGCTAATTGTAATTAATTAAGATACCTAATTATGTAAAAATATTACATAAATATATATGTAGAATTAATATATGTATGTATGTGAATCTATATGTGTATATATAAATAATTTTTTTAAATATTTTTATTTATATATAGTGATATATACGTATATATTTATGTATGTAGATATATTATTTCGTTCTACGTGTATTTTGATATAAATATATATATATATATATATATATATATATTAATATCACAATACAGTTAGAACGAAATAACACACATCTATATAATTTTAAATTATTTTTTTAATTTTATTTTTTAACGTATTTACATATTAAATTTTTTTATATTATATATAAATATATATATAACAATAATTATATATATATATTTAATCAGTATCAGTCTACGTGTAATTTGATATTAATATATATAATTATATATATATTAATAGTAAAATACACCTAGACAGTGTACGTGTGTGTATGTATAGGTGTATATATATATATATATACTTAGATCATATATATATATATAATATATATATATATATATGTATATGATCTAAGTATATATTTTTTTTTTTTTACACTTATAAATTTTATTTTAATTTTATTTCTAGCCAGCGGGGGGACCACCCGTATTTACAGGCAGCCCCCCTGCTGACAATACAGAAGCCAGCTATCCCGGCCATGTGATTGTGAGGTCCTCGCAAGGACCTCACTGTCACATGGCCGGGGGGCATCGGAGGAGGATCTGCCGCGGGGGGCTCCCTGGGATTTCCCCCCACCGCGATCGCCGGCGTTTAGAGCCGCTTAAAATAGGACGTAATTGTACGCCCTCCGGTCTGAAGGGGTTAAGCTAAAGTTGTTTTGGTGACTTTAGTGTTCCTTTAAGCATTTGTCTGGTGAGCGTCTCTTATCCCCTTTTTATAAAGAAATCAAATGCATTTTTTCCAATCTGTAATATTCCACACCGTTACAAATAAATTCAATGCATTTAAGCTCACATGTGATGCATGTTTCTAATCATAAATTCATATTCCCACAATTTTTATTATTTTTATAGCTCAGAATTTGAAATCATTGCCTAAAATTGCCGTGCTTGATTTCTCTGAAAACTATTTAGAAGAGGATGAAAGTCAGTCAATGGAAGAACTTGGTAGGCCTCTAAAAACATTTTTGTACGTTTCAGATTCAATATAAGGTATATATACTAAAGAAATAATAATTTATGTTTGATTACAGTGAAAGCTTTGATCTATCTACCCACACTGAAAACACTTTTGCTGCCTGGAGGTAGTGATGTGAAACTTTGCCTAGATGCATTACTGTTTCAACTTCGGAAGGCAACGGGTTTGTCAAAACTTGCAATTAAAAGATGGAACCTGGCAGACACTGACATGATAAAATTAGGTAAGCCCATTTAAAATGTGTATGTATACACTGAACAAAATTATAAGCACAACACTTTTGTTTTTGATTTTTAATGAGCTAAACTCAAAGATCTAAGACTTTTTTTATGTACACAAAAGGCCTATTTCTCTCAAATATTGTTCACAAATCAGTCTAAATCTGTGTTAGTGAGCACTTCTTATTTGCCGAGATAATCCATCCACCTCACAGGTGTGGCATATCAAGATGCTGATTAGACAGCATGATTATTGCCAAGGGAGGGCTGGCAGCCTTAGGCCTGGGGGGCAAAACCAGTCAAGTGGCCCATTGCACCACCAAATCAGTTCACCACCCATGCCCACCTTTTCCTGGTTTTATAACAGATATTGATGTTATGCTAATCAGTAGCTCTTTGCCATACCTGCTCCTTCACTGCTCTGACTTTCAATGTTATCAGAGCGCAGGCTGAGAATCTCTGAGCCTGTGCTCCGACTCACTAACTGAGCGCCGGAACCACGAGGGAGAGGATATGATCTGACTGCACCTCCTGCTGGTGCGCACCAGTGGACCACCAGCGAATCGTTTAAATTGAATATGCTGGTGTACCCAACTTGTGAGCTGTGTTGGCCGCCGGACTCCTCTGTTGTCATGGCACCCTGCGTGACCGCACAGCGTGCACACCCCAACGGCTGGCCCTGCTGACACACACTGATGTTACTACTTAGAAATCCCTCAATATTAATACAGACATCAGAGTAAACACCAATAAACTGTGGAAACAGAGCTGATCCCCCAAATTTATAAAGATTTGCTTAGTGGATTTGTTGTAAGATTAAATCATGCCTCCTCCTCTCTCTCTCCCATGCGCTGCTCTGTAGGCTGGGAGGAAGTGAAGAGTAATCGCATTCTCCCAGCACAGCGCCACCTGTGGCTGCATGGGGAACAGCTGTTTAATGTAATGCTTGCAGGACGGCCAGCTGCCACAGGACCTCTTTGTTCCCGTCTCTGCAAAGGGCTCCAGGCACTGCTCGTTGTGAGTGTGAGCCACTGTAAATTAGGGGCAGAGGGCACTTGCAATGCGGTAAAGACGGGTCTGGGCAGGAGGAGAGTGCAGTGCAATCAGTCCACTCCCCTCCTGTGGGTCACCAGTAGACTGGTGCACCTGCCCAGGATCAGAGCCGGTGCAAGGATTTTTGCCGCCCTAGACAAAAGAAAAATTTGCCGCCCCCCATGTGACATCACAATGCCCCACCATATGATCTGCCATATGAACTAACGTCAGTGCTGCACACAGTGTGTGTTTACATTAAAAAGCCTGCAGGGACCGGCTATAGACACCAGAACCACTTCATTAAGCTATAGTGTCCCTTTAATGTGAGGTAAATTATAGATTAGTGTCACTAATAATATACTAGGTTGCCTACTTACAACCAGATGAGGATGATGGGCTGCAGTTTGGCTCCACTGGTCTGGTGTAGAACAGGCTATCTGGAGGCTGTTTGCAACTGTGGTCACAAAATTCAATGTTCTGGGAGAATTGGAAGCTGCTCCATTTTTTTGGTCTGGGGCCTGATGGTGAGTATGCCCATAAGGCCCACTCATAAGTCCACTTATATGTTCCATCCACCCATGAGTTCGCTCACAGGGAGTTGAGTGTGTAGGGGATGTGTTATGTGTTATTGTAGAGGATCTAATATGTGTGCTTATGGTATGAAGTGTATAGTGATACCAGTTTGTGTAGGTGATGCAGTGTGTTTGTGTGTAGTGGAAGCAGTGTGTATTTGTGTATAAGGGATGTATTATGTGTTTCTAGTTGTGTGTAAGGGATGCATTGTGTGAATCTATGTTTGTATGCATAAGGGATGCAAGGTGTGTGTCTGTATGTGTGTGCATTGAATGTAAGAGATGCGTTGTGTTTCTGTGTGTATGTAAGAGAAGCAGTTTGTGTGTTTCTGTGTGTGTAGGGATCCATTGTGTGTTTCTGTGTATGTATAGGGATACATTGTGTGTGTGTGTGTGTGTGTGTGTGCGCGTAGTGTGAAAGAACTCCCAGTCTTGCCCCCTGTCCTATAGAGCTGTCCCTTCTGTCCCTTAGAGCTCTCCCCTGACCCTTAGTGGTCTCTCCTCTCCCCCACCCTCCCCTAGCGGTCTCTTCTCACACTCACCCACCCTCCCTGTGCTCTTCTCATCCCCCCTCCACCCTCCCTGTGTTCTCCTCACCCCCCCTCCACCCTCCCTGTGTTCTCCTCACCCCCCTTGTGTTCTTCTTACCTCCCTCCTCTCTTTGTTCTTCTTACTTCCCCCTTGTTCTTCTTACTCCCCCACCTGTTCTTCTTACTCCCCCACCTGTTCTTCTTATCCCCTTCTTCGTCTTACTCCCCCTTCTTCTTATTGCTCCCCCTTCTTCTTACCCCCTTCTTCTTCTTACTCCCCCTTCTTCTACTTCTTACCCCCTCCTACTTCTTCTTACCCCTCTTCTTCTTCTTGCTCCCCTTCTTGCATCCTCCTTCTTCTTCTTCTTCTTACTTCTTTTCCTCTCCCCCCCTCTTCTTCTTACTCCCCCCCTCTTCTTCTTACCCCTCTTCTTCTTCTTCTTCTTACTCCCCCACTCTTTTCTTACCCCTTCTTCCTCCCCCTTCTTCTTGCCCCTCTTTTCTTATCTCCCTCCTTCTTGCTCCCCTTCTTCTTTCTCCCCTCCTTCTTACCCCCCTCTCCTTCTTACCCCCTCTTCTTCTTACTCCCTTCTTCTTCTTTCTTCTTCTTCTTCCCCTCTTCTTCTTACCCCCCTTCTTCTTATTCCCCCTTTCTTCTTACTCCCCCTTCTTCTTCTTATCCCCCTCCCCTCTTCTTACTCCCCCTTATACTCCCCCCTCCCCCTCTTCTTGCTCCCCCCTCCCCTCTTCTTGCTCCCCCTCCTTCTTCTTACTCCCCCCTCTTCCTCTTCTTACCCCCCATCCCCTCCATCCTCTTACCCCTGCTCTCACCTTCCCTTCTCTGTAGTGTGGCCAAGCTCCTTTCCAGTCCGCGGTGCCCCGCCGGAGTGATAGGAAGGTGCACACTCAGTGTGCACTTCCTGTCAGTCCAGCCGGTTACAGGCAGTAAAGGAGTTTCTGTTTCCTGTACCCGGCCGGACTGACCGGAAGAGCACACTCAGTGTGCACCTTCCTATCACTCTGGCCATGCATCACGGACCGTTGAGGAGCTCAGCCACACTACAGGGAAGGGGAGGGGAGGAGAGAAGCAACTGCAGCCGCCTGAGGCTCTTAACAGAGCGCTCAGGTGGCTGCAGCATTTAAAGGGCCGGCCCTGCAGCGACCGGTCTTAAAAGAATTTAGGGCGGCCTGGGGGGCAATTGCCTCCCTGCCCCCCGGCCCAGCCCGCCCCTGATTATTGCAAAGGTGTGCCTTAGGCTGGCCACAATAAAAGGCCACTCTGAAATGTGCAGTTTTATCACACAGCACAATGCCACAGATGTCACAGGTTTTGAGAGAGCGTGCAAGTGGCATGCTGACTGCAGGAATGTCCACCAGAGCTGTTGCCCGTGAATTGAATGTTCATTTCTCTACCATAAGCTGTTGCCAAAGGTGTTTCAGAGAATTTGGCAGTAGATCCAACCAGCCTCACAACTGCAGACCACATATAACCACACCAGCCCAGGACCTCCAAGATCGTCTGAGACCAGTGTAGCAGGCTGGCCGGGTCTTGGGTCATAAACAACAGAAACAGTTCTTTCTTCCAATATGAGGAAAGCTTTATTTAGCAAGCAGGCTGAGCCACAGCAAAACATGAAAACCAAAATCAACTCCTACTCCACACTGGAGACTAACTAACTTACTCTTTCTATGCTACTGGGCAGCTAAGATGAACCCTGTAGTTTAACAAATAAAAATAAAGGCTTGCAAAATACCTTTTTGTTCCCATACAGTTTCAGCAGTCTTTTTGACTCACAGTCTCTCTGTCTCCGCCCCAGCTCTTCACAGGAGAGACTGATTTCCCTCTGCATAGGGTTTATGTAGCTCCTTAATTGATGTACTAGAGCAACCTGATTTTTAACCCCCTCTAGTCAGAGAACACTGAAAGTGCCATTCTGAGGCTAATATAGTAGTGTTCCCTCACACTGCCACACCAGCCACCCGGACAGCTGCTGCAACAATCGGTTTGCATAATCCAAATAATTTCTGCAGAAAAACTGTCAGAAACCGTCTCAGGGAAGCTCATCTGCATGCTCGTCATCCTTATCAGGGTCTCGACCTGACTGCAGATCTTCGTCGTAACCAACTTGAGTGGGCAAATGTCCACATTCGATGGATTCTGGCACTTTGAAGAGGTGTTCTCTTCACAGATAAATCCCGGTTTTCACTGTACGGGGCAGATGGCAGACAGCGTGTATGGCGTCATGTGGGTGAGCGGTTTGCTGATGTCAACGTTGTGGATCAAGTGGCCCATGGTGGCAGTGGGGTTATGGTATGGGAAGGCATATGTTATGGACAACGAACACAGGTGCATTTTATTGATGGCATTTTGAATGCACAGAGATACCGTGACGAGATCCTGAGGCCCTTTTTTATGCCATTCATCCACGACCATCACCTCATGTTGCAGCATGATAATGCACGGCCCCATGTAAGGATATGTACACAATTCCTGAAAGCTGAAAACATCCCAGTTCTTGCATGGCCAGCATACTCACCGGACATGTCACCCATTGAGCATGTTTTGGGATGCTATCAATCGGCGTATACGACAGTGTACAGTGTGTTCCAGGTCCTGCCAATATCCAGCAACTTCGTACAGCCATTGAAGAGGAGTGGACCAACAACAACACAATCAACAACCTGATCAACTCTATGCAAAGGAGATGTGTTGCCCTGCATTTTAGAATGGCCTTTTATTGTGGCCAGTCTAAAGCACACCAGTGCAATAATCATGCTATCTAATCAGCATCTTGATATGCCACACCTGCGAGGTGGATGGATTATTTTGACAGAAGGAGAAGTGCTCACTAACACAGATTTAGACAGATTTGTGAACAATATTTTAGAAATAGGCCTTTTGTGTACATAGAAAAAGTCTTAGATATTTAAATTCAGCTCATAAAAAATGGGGGCAAAAACAAAAGTGTTGCATTTATAATTTTGTTCAGTGTATATATATATATATTCATTGGATATATAAAAATATCCAATGTAAGAATAGAAAAGATCTGACAGTAAGCATGCCAAAGGTGATGAATAAAGGAGTGAGAGTGAAGAAATACAAAACGTGTATGTGAAATCAGTGATGAATATATGAGTGAAGTGAAAAAAATTTAGCACACAAAAGTGGTTTAAACTGTCAGTAATACATAAGGGTATTATATATCATATATACCTGTATCCCAAAACGGGATCATACAGTATAATCCATAAAGTATACATATATGAAACATGATTTTAAGAATTATGTAACTATACAAATGAATATTAACCTTATATAGTGTGTGCAGAAGATAAATGCCCCCACTCTGGGACATCATTTGAATTCAAATATCTTGTTCAATATAAACTAAATAAAATTATAATATGTATATAACTGTACCCATGACTAATAAGTATAGATGAAGAGGCAAAAATAAAAAACTATAAAAAATAATCTCAATCCGGGGCATACCATCTTATCTTATATATGATGACAATTATAAACAAGACAAAACTATAATAATAATTCAGCCATATAATATCATCCTATCTTGCGGGAGGAAAACAACATAAACTAAGACACATTAGAGAAACATTGAGTATACTATATTTTCATTAAGTCCAGTCCCTGGGGGGCCACTGTATCCAATTGATGGATCCAAAATGCCTCACGCTGTAAAATAAATTTAGATCTATCACCCCCATGAGGGACATGATCAATTGCTATAATAATTAGTGTGGGCAAACAATGTTCGGTTGCAAGAAAGTGTTTAGCCACTGGTTTATCAGTCCTTAGGTCACGGAAGTCTGTCATTATCCCTGACCGATGTCCTCGAATTCGGTCTCTAAGGGTCAGGTCTGTCTTCCCTACATAGGACAGTCCGCAGGGACAAGTGATCATATAGATCACATGATCACTGGTACATGATATAAAATGTTTTATAGGGATATGTTTCCCACTGTGGGGATGTCCAAATGTAGAGCTGCTGATCATGTGGCTGCATGTAAAGCAGCCAGAGCAATTAATGCACCCTTTCTTCTTTAGTGTTGGAGGTTTTTTAAAACACTGTATGGCAAGCATGACAAGCATGCGGCCCACAGTGAACATATTTGCGGCCTGTCTGCCCTGGGGCTGCTTTCAGCTGTGACTGCGACCAGTAAGACAGAAAAAATATTTCCTGATTCTTGGTCTCCCAGCCCCAAGAGGGCAGAGTGGCTGTGTGTCTGCTGAGCAGACCAGAGCAGCCACTCCCCCTTCCCTCCTGCTCGCAGTTTCAGAGGAGGGTCTGGGCTGGAGTTGGAACTGAAGGACAGACAGCAGATTGTAAGTTAGGAGAAGAGGGGCTTGGGGGAGGGGGGCACTGTATTAATTTGAGGAAGAGAGGGGGCACTGTATTAATTTGGGTGAGGGATGGGGCACTCTATATTTGAGGGAGGGAGCACTCTATTAATTTGAGGGAGGGGAACTGTATTAATTTGTGGGAGGGTGGGGGCACACTTAATTTGAGGGAGGGGACACTATTAATTTGAGGGAGGGAGGACAGTGTATTATTATGAAGGAAGGGGCACTGTATTAATTTGAGGGAGGAAGGGCAGTGTATTAATTTGAGGGAGGGGGCACTCGATAATATCAGGAGTGCACTCTCAGGTCTTGTTAAAGTAAATCGTGAATAAATAGCAAAAAAGTTTACATCTGTAATACAATCGACGTTTTGACCCCTAAGGTTTTTTTTCAAAATCACAGAGTTTACAGTAATGTGACATTATATACATAAAGCAATAAAACACTTACCAATCAAATGAGTGACAAAATATATATAAATAAATATATAAAGATGAAACCAAGAGGGCTGCACTCACCTGAATGAGGTACATTAACATTGTGGAAGGATTATGCAATACATGTTCATATAATGTAACAAAACCCCCATTATTTTTTGCCTAGGTGAGGTGTTTTTAAATAAAACTATTACAATCTGTGAGATTTGAAATCATTGTTTAGTAAATAAGCGAGTGCGCTGGATTGTGTATTTTGTATGATATATATATATATATATATATATATATATATATATATATATATATATATATATATATATATCTTATCTACCAATTTTAAAGTGGTTTCACATCCAATGTGCAATTTAATATATGTAATTCAAAACCTATTCCAACGAATAACATTTATTGCCACAGAACCCTAAAGAATATAATAAATAAAAGTTATTTATTTGAACTACTTATTTTTTCTTACAATACTCTTGCTTCTGATTAGCTTACTCATACGCAACAATTTTAAGTTGACTGTTAATGAGTAATATTTTACAGTCAATAAGAAGGAGGGGGTGTGATCATGTTGTAGCAGTTGCAAATGTTGGTAACCTAAGGCAATGGCATCCCTCAGGTTTCTGTCCTTTTTCTGGGTCTTCTTATACCCTGTTTAGTGTATTTACATATGATTAGGGTCAAATTCTAAAGTGGTTTCCCTTTGTATAGGTAGACTATAAACTGTACAGTCTTGTGTTGATAGATACCAGGGTAATAAGTAACAGAAGAGAAGGCTGTTCACATCCTTGTATTTTCTGACTGTTATCTCATAAAATTGTTTTGCCTCATCTTCTAAGCTATATTTCAACAGGCTTATAGGTATCTGGTGTAACATTGTAGAACTTTTTATTGTGCCAAGCCCAATTTAAAGGACCACTCTAGGCACCCAGACCACTTCAGCTTAATGAAGTGGTCTGGGTGCCAGGTCCAGCTAGGGATAACCCATTTTTTCATAAACATAGCAGTTTCAGAGAAACTGCTATGTTTATGAATGGGTTAAGCCTTCCCCCTAATCCTCTAGTGGCTGTCTCATTGACGGCCACTAGAGGCGCTTGCGTGCTTCTCACTGTGATTTTCACAGTGAGAGCACGCCAGCGTCCATAGGAAAGCATTATGAATGCTTTCCTATGTGACCGGCTGAATGCGCGCGCAGCTCTTGCCGCGCGTGCGCATTCAGCCGACGGGGAGGAGAAGAGGAGGATCGGAGGAGGAGAGCTCTCCGCCCAGCGCTGGAAAAAGGTAAGTTTTAACCCCTTTTCCCTTTCCAGAGCCGGGCGGGAGGGGGACCCTGAGGGTGGGGGCACCCTCAGGGCACTATAGTGCCAGGAAAACGAGTATGTTTTCCTGGCACTATAGTGGTCCTTTAACACAAGTACTGCTCATGTCGGGACCTGTTTTATTTATTTATTTTAATATGAAACATTACTACTTTGTTATGTTATTTTAATTATTTAGTCAGTTTTGTAGGTGAATTTCTGATTATGTGAAAATGTATAAGAGAAACCTCATTGACATTTGATAAACTGCAGTATATTCAGTAGATCATTTACAATATCACACTGTCTCTTGTTTGCAGCTACCCATTTTAGGAATGAATCTAAAAAGCTTGAATTTCTGGACTTGTCGAATAACCGTGCAACGAGTGACGGATGGATTGCCTTAATGGACGTACTACAAAATCTAACTAAACTCACATACTTAAACTTCAGTACAGAGAATTTGTTTACACCAGATTCAGTCTTGGTGGCAAAACTGAGTTGTGTAATTTCTGATTTACAGTTTTTATGCACAATGGAACTGAATAATTGGGAGCTGGATACATTTGACTTGGACAGAATCAAAAAATCGAAAAATATGATCCATAGGCAAGAAGAAACAGGTGTCCACTTTTTTTCAAGCTGTTAACTTAGAAGTTGAAAGCAGATAACAGTGTTTTTTCTTTTTGTAATAATGATGATATAATTAATCTAAACCTGCAGATACTTGAGCTGATTTATGCAATGTTTCTATATATAAAGGAGTATTCACTAATTGAGAATAAGCAGGAATTCAAAATGAATAGAAAGTAAATTTAAAATTTAAGGCCAAAATTACAACATAGTAACTTTAACCCCTTAAGGACACATGACATGTGTGACATGTCATGATTCCCTTTTATTCCAGAAGTTTGGTCCTTAAGGGGTTAAATGGCTCTTATAAAACCGTATCCACCCATTGCTGCACAATTATTTCAGTGTTACGGAGTTATTTGAGAGCAATAATATAGAGCAACCATAGACACCACATTACAACTAGTTGTGTAGCCTGCAAAAAATAAATACCTAAATATCATTTTGAATCTATATCAGGCAAAAGAGAACTGCCCCCGTATAAGAACAGTAGAATGGGTAATAATCAAGATTTTAGACTTATCAGTATTTAATTCAAAGTTGGACAGGAAACCATATTCACGAAAAACTTTTAGAATATTTGTCAATGAAATATGTGGGGTCCCAGTCATAAACTTATCATCTGTGTATGCAGCAACTTTATGTCCTTCGAGAAAAGAGAAAAATACCATCCAAATGTCTGAATATTTAATTTGGAAACTATATCAGGCGAAGGGGAATTGTCCCCGTATAAGAGTAGACTGGGACTTAGTAAAGGTTATGTTTAAGATTTTGGACTAATCAGCATTTAATTTAAGGTTGGACAGTAAACCATATTCACAAAAAGCTTTCATATTATTTGTCAATGAAATTTGTGGGTTACATAGTTACATAGTTACATAGCTGAAAAGAGACTTGCGTTCATCAAGTTCAGCCTTCCTCACATATGTTTTTGCGGTTGATCCAAAAGAAGGCAAAAAACCTAGTCTGAAGTGCTTCCAATTTTGCCACAAACTAGGAAAAAATTCCTTCTTGACCCCAAAATAGCAGTCAGATGTTTCCTTGGATCAAGCAGCTATTACCCCACTAATTAGAAATGATATCCCTGTATGTTATGTTTTTGTAAATATTTATCCAGTTGCAGTTTGTTTAAACATCTGTAATGACTCTGACAAAACCACCTCTTTAGGCAGAGAATTCCATATCCTTATTGCTCTTACTGTAAAAAAACAACAACTTTTCTTTGTCTTAGATGAAATCTCCTTTCTTCCAGCCTAAATGTGTGACCTTGTGTCCTATGTATAGCCCTGTTTATGAATAGATTTCCAGTTTAAGGTTTGTACTGGCCCCGAATATATTTGTATAAAGTTATCATATCCCCTCTCAGGCGCCGTTTTTCCAAACTAAACAGATTAAATTTTTTTAACCTTTCTTCATAACTAAAATGCTCCATTCCTTTTATCAATTTTGTAGCTCATCTCTGGACTTTTTCTAGTGCCATGATATCTTTCTTTAGAACAAGCGCCCAAAATTGCACAGCATATTCAAGATGTGGTCTTACCAGCGATTTATAAAGAGGCAAAATTATATTTTCATCCCGAGAATTTATGCCCCTATTTATACATGACAAAACCTTACTGGCCTTAGCAACTGCAGATTGACATTGGATATTGCTGCCTAATTTGTTGTCTATAACAATTCCCAAATCCTTCTCGTGTGTGGTTATCCCTAATTCACTACCATTTAGTGTGTAAATTGCTTGTGCATTCTTAACTCCGAAGTGCATAACTTTGCATTTCTCTACGTTAAATTTCATCTGCCATTTTAGTGCCCAGTCCCCCACTCTATCCAAATCCCTCTGCAGCAAAGCAATATCCTGCTCACATTTTATTACTTTTCAAAGTTTTGTGTCATCTGCAAACACTGATACATGGCTTTCAATGCCTATTTTAAGATCATTTATAAATATGTTAAATAGAAGTGGTCCCAAAACAGAATCCTGAGGGACACCACTTACCACTTTTGTCCAGCCTGAAAATTTACCATTAATTACAACTCGTTGTACTCTATCCTTAAGCCAATGTTCTACCCAAGAACAAGAATATTCATCTAGACCAATTTATTTTAGTTTGAAGACTAACCTATTGTGAGGAACCGTATCAAATGCCTTGGCAAAATCCAAGTAGATCACATCCACTGCAACACCCTGATCTATACTTCTACTTACTTCTTCGTAGAATGCAATTAGGCTAGTTTGACATGACCTATGTTTCATAAAACCATGCTGATTATTGCTAATAACAAAGTTCTTCCCAATGAATTCCTGAATATTATCCCTTAATAGCCCTTCAAATATTTTCCCAGTTATAGAAGTTAAGCTCACAGGTCTATAATTTCCAGGCAAGGATTTTGAACCCTTTTTAAATATAGGAACAACATCTGCCTTCCTCCAATCCTCCGGTACAACACCTGAAACAAAAGAATCTTGAAAAATTAAATACAGAGGTTCACTTATTTCCCCACATAGCTCCTTAAGTACTCGTGGGTGAATACCGTCAGGCCCCGGAGCTTTATTTACATTAATTTTCGTTAATAGCTGTAGCACCTTGTCTCGAGTCCAATCACAAGTTATTTGCAAGTTTTTTGCAGCAATCATTTGCATATCTCTTGCCAGAGGATCCTCATTAATATATGCTGAAGAAAAATAGTTAAGTAAAATTTCAGCTTTTTCCTGGTCTTTATTAGCTAATAAACCCAACTCTGTTTCCAGTGTACCTACACTTTTATTTTTTGTTTTTTTTAGAATTTATGTACTATTTATGTTCCCACCCATAAGCATAACATCATATCTGTATGCAGCTACTTTATGTTCTTCTCAAAATGTACCACCATCTATTCTGACCTCTTCAAAGAATGGCTTTAGAAAAAACCCAAGCAGGAAATGGGACAGCGGAGAGCCCTAGTGTGTACATTGCTGATTTTGAAAGAGCTCCATAAATACTATCCCAGGCAGTGAGGATAGTGTAGAGCAGGGGTGCACAAAAGGTAGATCCCCAGATGTTATAGAACTACAACTCTCTTGATGCTTTGCATACCTTTGGAATGTTTTTAGAATGACATCATGTTAGCTGTAGGTTTAAAACATCTAGGGATATACCTTTTGCTGGGATAGAGTGCATCAATCAAGTATAGGATGTTGAGACAGATCCTCATCTGCTTTGGCAAAACAGCAGTAAGCTGTATCAAGCAGCTAGTACTGCCAGGAGCAAACTTTTAGTGGAAGATAGGACATTGCCACTTGGGTTGGTAGGCATTTTCTCATAAATCCTGGTGTGAAACCAGGGCCGGCCTTAGGCAATTAGGCGCCCTGTGCAAAAAGTCTTCACGGCGCCACCTCCCACCAAGTTGCCTGAATACAGTAACACACACAGGCACCGGGGACGTGTGTATCACGAGGCAAACAAGGCATCTGCCTTGGGCGCCACTTTGCAGGGGGCGGCAAAAAAAAGCATCCCTCCAAACCCCCAGGCAGATCCCTTGCTTGCCTCGCATCCTGGGGGCTCAAGAGCTGACCGGCTGGCCACTTTTGAGCCCCCCCAAGGCTGGCAGCGGGCAGCGAAGGAGCATACTCACCTGAGCTCTTCCTGCTCAGCTTCCTCTGCGCCGCTTAATGAAGCCGGGAGCCAGAATATGACGTCAGTCCGGCTCCCGGCATCACTAAGCGCTGCTTACTCAGCCTGTGCGCCCCCTGCCTGCCTGCCCAGCAGCCACACTGGACTGCTGGTAAGAAATCCACTCCAGCTTTCCCAGGGAGGCTGGGTGGATTTAAAATAAATGTAAAAAATATTAGTTTGTGAGTGTTAGTGGAAATGTCTGTGTGTGTGTCTGTGAGTGTTTATTTTGAAGTGAATGTGTGTGTGTGTGTGTGTGTCTGTAAGTGTGTAATTGTGTGTGTCTGTAAGTGAATGTGTGTGTGTCTGTGAGTGAATGTGTGTGTTGGTCAGTGAGTGTATATGTGTCAGTCAGTGAGTGTGTATGTGTCAGTCAGTGAGTGTGTATGTGTCGTCAGTGAGTGTGTATGTGTCGTCAGTGAGTGTGCGTCTGTCAGTGAGTGAGCGTCTGTCAGTCAAAGTGCGGCCTTGACAGGAAGGGGTGGGGGAAATTTAAACTCGGTTACAGGCATGTACACACACACTCAGTTAAAGGCAGTCACACATACAGGCACAGGCACAAACAATGGCACAGCTACAGCGACACACACAGACAGACAGTCACATAGGCAGTCACACACACAGACAGACACACAGTAACACACACATAGACAGTTATACACACACAGGCAGGCAGTCACACAGATAGAAAGTCACACACACAGGCAGGCAGTCACACACAGACAGATAGTTACAGACAGACACAGGCAGGCAGGCAGTCACACAGACAGACAGTCACACACACAGACAGTCACACAGACAGACAGTCTCACACACACAGGCAGTCACACACACGGGCAGTCACACAGACAGACAGTCACACAGACAGACAGTCACACACACAGGCAGTCACATACATGGGCAGTCACACAGACAGACAGTCACACACACAGACAGTCACACACAGCAGTCACACACAGAGACAGTCACACACACACACAGAGACAGACAGTCACACACACACACACACACAAGGACAGGCAGTCACACAGACAGTCACACACACACAGACAGTCACACACACACAGGCAGGCAGTCACACACAGACAGTCACACACACAGACAGACAGTCACACAAACAGGCAAACAGTCACACACACACACTTACCTCTTTCCAGTGGATGCAGTTGGCTGATGGGGAAGCATCTTTCCCTCTTCCTGTACAGCAGGGGCTTCGGGAGGTATTAGCCCCGTCTCCGCCTCTCGATAAGCCCCGCCTCCGCCGCTCGGTAAACCCCGCCCCCTCTGCCGCGATTTTTTTTTTTTTAAATAGACCCGGGTGGAGAACAATTAATCCTCCAGCCAGGTACCTCTTTTAGCTCCCCTGCACTCCGGCCATGAGTGAGCTGTGTCGGCCACAGGGCGCCCCCTGTTCCATGGCGCCCTGTGCGGTCGCACAGCTCGCACACCCCTAAGGCCGGCCCTGTGTGAAACTATTTTTGCAATATACAGTTTGTTTGATTTTTGTAACCCTTTAAGAACAGAGGCAAATGTACAAGTTTTGACCAAAACAAATCTGGAATTTGAGCTATATGTCTGTTCAACCATGATTTACCTCTTTCATATTAAGCACATCCACATTTATTATATATCATTTTGTTCAGGAGAAATCATTTCAAATCAAATATTTATATATGGAACACAAAATTCGATATGAATAAAATCTAAAGAAGTGTGAGAAATTAAGAAATTTTATTTTCCAAACTCTGCATGGCATTTTTACTGTGAATCATAATAAAACACACATATTTGTATGCTGTGATGTCCCAAGTGTACAACAATGCCCCCCAACATGCAGGTTTTATGGTGTTTTGGAAAGTTACATGGTCAAATAGAAAGTTTGCTTGTTTCAGTTTTTACACGTTAAAATTGCCAGATTTGTTTGCTGGGCCTATGTTGTCTTTGAGACAATATGGCAGCCCGGAATGAAAACTATCCCCATCATGACATACTGTAGAGACATATGCAGACATAGAGAAACCAGGATATTCAAAATGTGGTGTGTCCAGTCATGTCTCTCCAGTACAAGAGTACCACCCATATACAGGTTTTATGGGGTTTTGAAAAATTACAGAGTCAAATATATGGCTTGCAAATAATTCTCTGGACTTTCTGCCTGGGTTCTCAAACTGGTCCCTCAATATATAATTAATAAAATCACCTAATTATGTAATACATACATACATATATACAGTCATGGAAAAAAGAAAGTAGACCCTCTTTGCTTTCTATGGTTTTACATATCAGGATATAACAACAATCAAATGTTACTTAGCAGGTCTTGAAATTAGGTAAATACAACCTCGGATGACCAACAAAACATGATATATTACACCGTGTCATGATTTTTAAAACAAAAATAAAGCCAGTATGTAGAAGACATGTGTGAAAAACTAAGTACACAATATGATTCAATAGCTTTGTAAATCCACCTTTAGGAGAATTAACTTGAAGTAATTGTTTTCTTTGTGACTTTATCAGTCTCTCACATAATTGTGGAGGGATTTTGGCCCCCTCCTCTTTACAATATTGCTTCAGTCATTGAGGTTTGCTGGCAGTTGTCAAGGTTGCAATTATGTAAGCCAAAACAAAAGATGCAAACCATACTTGAGAATTGCAGGAAAGCTGCTGCTCATTTCCACCATAGTGTGAGGGCTAGCCAAATCTTGAAGTAGGAGTACGAGAAAAGAAAGCTTCCCACACACCATCTACAAAAACATGACAGCTTGTGGTGGGACTCGACTTTAGATATACTGGAAATAAATTTGGAAATTGCCCTGAAATGACGCTTGCTTCTCTGCGTAATCCTAGGACTATTCCTTTATTTAGATCTAGTTTTAAGTCAATAACAATTTCAAACTTTAGCAAGATTACCAGCAAATACAGGTTGTGACACTTGCATTGTGATAATGCTTCACGCATGCAGTTCAGACCGAAGTCCAGAAAATATTATCAATTGCATACTGACTCTGCATTGTGATCCTGGCATATGTGGGTACTTCATAAATAAAATTATTATGAAGCTGAACATACAATATTCCGAAATAAGACTTTTAAGCAAGACCCCGCAATGCATTATAGGAACTTGCAGTAAATAAGAAAAATAACCTTGCAGAAGAAAAAAGGTGATAGCTTTGTTTTCAAATCAGTCACTAAAGGGGAAAACCTTGAGACACACAAAATGCATGTTTATTTTACAGTGTATATTAGAACAGAGCATGATTGTTTGAGAGATGCTTTGAGTTTAGTTTTTTGTTTGTTCTTCAAATATCTTGTAATTCCATCTATAAAATAAAAATCTGGAGGTTATTTAGAGACAACACTTCTCTCTCTGTACAAGCTGATGAGCATTTTCTTCCTCAAGAATTGCAAAGAAATAGCATTCTCAAACATATGTTTTATCTACTTTTAGCCACTAGAGGTCACCAACAGTACATTTATTATTTAAAAATTTTAAATTGACTTCAAAATAACTAGAGGTAAGAGAAAAGCTTCCATAACAGATACAATAATACCGACATTGCATTTTTTTTTTTCAATTTTAAGATTTTAAATGTTTCTCCAAGTAAAGTGGGTCAGGTACAGAAAGGAAGAAGGGGAGGGTGGGGGGGTTAACAGAGGTAACATCGACAACATATCATCCATAATACTAACTAGACAGTAGTAAAGACTATCCATTATTAGCTTATTTGGCATCCTACTGTGTACCTTGTCACATTGCAACAACTAGACCCTTCCATGTGCCATTTCACAATCATTTACAGTTGGTTTGGGTTACCCAATCTCCATGCGTCCCAGATACTCCATGTTTCCCTGGTTAGTTTATTGGGGAGAATATGGATGTAATTCACGTTTCGTAATTTTTCTATACATCGATGTCAGCCTTTAGCTGATTTATGGATGGTATCGAGATAATTTTCTATTTCTTCACTATAAGTTTTTAAGCTGTGAGAATAATATGAGTGATCAGCTTTGGCCTTTTCTTGGGGATCGAATTAGGAAGCTCCAGTAGGAGATGCGTTAAGGCTGTGTGGTTTAAGGTGCAGCCCATGGTATCTTTTATTCATTTTTGAACCTCTTACCAAAAGGGTGCTAACGAGGAACAAAGTCACCAGATATGTGGTTCCCTCTGCATTTTGGCATCGCCAACAAGAGGCAGGTGTGTTTGGGAAGATAGCTTGTAGCCTGGTCGGCACTAGGTACCACCTGTACAGCACCTTTCTTTGCTATTCTAAGAGCGTGGATGATTTGATTAATCTAGTTGAAGCAGTGACTATGGAATCCCACTGTTTGCCGACATTGCATTTTTAATTCCAAGCTGAAGATAAATGAGTTTGATAAGTGAATAGTTTTAATCATTGTAAATATTGTACAAATGACCTCCTTACTCATTGCGTATGTACAATGCTGAAGACTTTTATAGGAGCCTATGTTATAAAGTGCAGGACCAGAATTCTTAATCATACACAAACAAGGATTTTTGCTGCCCTAGGCAAACAAAAATTTGCGCCCCCCATCACAATGCCCCTCCCATATGATTTGCCATATGAGCCAATGCAAGTGCTGCACACAGTGTCTTTTATCTGCAGGGACAGGCTATAGACACCAGAACCACTACATCAAGCTGTAGATGGTTCTGGTGACTATAGTGGCCCTTTAGTGTGTGAGGTAAATAGGGATTAGTGCCACTAATAATATACTGGATTGCCTCCTTACCACCAGATGAGGACAAGAGGCTGATGATGGGCTCAGACTGCAGTCTGGCTCCACTGGTCTGGTATTAAAACAGGCTCTCTGGAGGCAGTACTCACAAAAACAACGAACACATATTACAGTGTGGGCCCCCAGGGCCTGACCTTGAGTATGCCTACAAGGCCTGCCCATAAGCCTGATGCATACAAGCTATGAGTTTGCGCACAGGGAGTGGAGTGTATGTGTGTAGGGGATATGTTATGTGTTATTGTACAGGATGTAATGTGTGTGTGTTCCTATGGAATGGAATGTATAGGGATACCAGTTTGTGTAAGGGATGTAGTGTGTGTTTGTGTGTAAAGAATTCCTTATGTGTTTCTGGGTGTGTGTGTCTGTTCATTGTGTGAATCTGTGTTTGTATGTGTAAGGGATGCAAGGTGTGTTTCTGTGTATGTAATGTAATGCAGTGTGTGTGCCTGTAAGGGTTGCATTGAGTGTGTGTAAGACATGCATTAAGAGACGCAGTGTGTGGGTGTGTGTGTGTGGGGGGGTGTGTGTAAGGGGTGCATTGTGTGCTTCTGTATATGTGTGCAAGGGCTGCATTGTGTGTGTGTGTGTGTGTGTGTGTGTGTGTTTGTGAGGTATGCATTGTGTGTGTGTAAGGATGCATTGTGTATGTGTGTAGTGTGAAAGAGAGGGTTTGTGGGGTAGGATAGAGGCTGAGAGGGGAGTAGCTCTTTATTTTTATTATTATATTTATTTTGTTAATATAATTTTTTTTTGTATATTTTTTCTTTAAGTTTCAAGTCTTACATTTCCCTTTAGTGTATCTCTTACAAACCCATTGTGCGTCTCTTACCCCCCTCTATGTATGTCTCCTACATCCTCCCAACCCCTTTGCGTGCCTTACTCCCCTAAGACCCTTTGTGTCTTACTCTTCCCAGCTCCTTGGTGTGTCTCTTTTCCCCCCAGGCCCCTCTGTGTGTCTCCCTCACAAGCGACTGTGTGTCTCTCTCCTGAGCCCCTCTGTGTGTCTCTGTCTCCCCTACCAGCCCATCTGTGCTTCTCTTTCACCCTTTTTGCGTGTCTTACACTCCTCCATGCCTTAATGATCTCTTCCACTTTCCTCGTCCCTTAGTGGTCTCAACTCCACTTCTCCCCCTGTTCCTTAGAGGTCTCCCATCCTGTCCCTTAGAACTCTCCCCTCCCCTCCTGTCCCTTAGTGTTGTCCCCTTCCCTCCTGTCCCTTAGTGCTCTCCCCTTCCATACTGTCCCTTAGTGCTCTCCCCTCCCGCCCTTAGTGCTCTCCCCTTGCCTCCTGTCCATTAGTGCTCTCCCATCCCTTAGTGATCTCCCCTCCCCACCTGTCCCTTAGTGATCTCCCCTGACCTCTGTCCCTTAGTGCTCTCCACTGTTATCTTGTCCGTTAGTGCTCTCCCCTGCCCCCCTGTCCCTAAGTGCTCTCCCCTGCCCCCCCTTCCCATAGTGCCCTCACCCATCTTTTCCTTAGTGGTCTCTCCTCCCCCACCCCATCTTTCCCTTAGTGGTGTCTCCCCCCCAGTGTCCCTTAGTGGTCTCTCCTCCTTCTCAGTGTCCCCTAGTGGTCTCTCCTCCCCCCAGTGTCCCTAGTGGTCTCTACCTTAGTGGTCTCTCCTTCCCCAGTGTCCTTAGTGGTCTCTTCTCCCCAGTGTCCTTAGTGGTCTCCCCAGTGTCCCTTAGTGGTCTCTCCTCCCCCAGTGTACCTTAGTGGTCTCTCCTCCACCCCAGTGTCCCTTAGTGGTTCCTCCCCCACCCCCCCAGTGTCCATCCTCTCCCTCCCCCCAGTGTCCCTTAATGGTTTCTTCCACCCCTTCCCTGTTGTGCCTCCTTCCTCTGTGTAGCGTGTCTGAGCGGCGCGGACCGCGGATCAGGAGCTTCTGTTTCCTGTACCTGGCCGGACTGACAGGAAGTGCTTACTGAGAGAACACTTCCTTTCAGGAAGCTCTGATCCACAGGCTCACACAGTCACACACTCTTATGTACATGCTCACAAAGACATGCACACTTACATAGAGACTTACACAGCCACTCACATTTATATGCAGACTTACACACAAAGCTAAATGTGCCACTTGCTACCTACACACCAGGAAAATTGTAACTAAAACAAGATAAGCCTCTGAGAAGGCAGCAACATATTGTACCAACCAGGTGCGACATGGCTCCGATGAACCTACTCAGAACACAACAGGGCTAGTACTCACCTCCTGCAATACCGGCCACCTCAATGGTCAGCTGGTCTAGTACCACAGAAATAGGTGTGATATAAAATAGATTGGGATTCATAGCAACCCCCTATAAGACCCCCTCTGTGTGTGGAAGGTAAAAAAAAGACAAATTAAGTAAGCCCTGGAGCTGTGTGAAAACGTTCTCCTTAGCATTATATCTAAAGAGTACTCACTAAAGACAGTTGGATAGAGCTTCAGGGTACATTTGCACATAACCATTAAGTTTCATGGACATTTTTAAAAAACTGACCCTGTTTAAGAAGGCCCATCTGATGCTATTCTAATTCTGTTTATTCTATTGGTTGTTATGCTAATATGTAAATAATGGAACATTGGTTTTAATTATTGCACTCAAAAAATCTTCTACACAAACATCGAAATACATGTTTTCTACCATTGCCTCAGTTTTCAAATAACTAAGGCTTGTTGGCATAATCATAAGAAGCTTTAATATTCATTTAATTTGGACCATGTCCCATATGCAGTATTAATGTGTTCTTAATATTTCCAAGGGGTTTGTTGATAGGATTATGAGTATGACTGCAAGGTTTGTAGATAACATGCCAGTGAAAGGCTAATCCCCAGCTTGGAGGAGAGCCTGAACTAACTAAGATGAAGAAAAAAAAAGTCCAAACAGTAGCACTTGTAAACTTTTGGTGGCTTAAGGATTTTCCTCTGCTTATTGCTAATTAAAATTCTTTCAAAATGGAACTTGGCTTCCTATTAGGCTAACCTTAAAAGAAGGTGACAGTTTTCTTAAATCATGTTGAGTTGGACATGTGACACGTATTCTCTGATCCCGTCTAGATCCTAATAACCAGCTAGCACGCAAAGAGCTCATTATTTATTATGCCGATTGCATGCAGACATGGTGGGATTCAGACAAATTAAGTATCAAGTACTGCTTATACCAGCTACTTAGAGGGGATCATTTCTGAGCACAAAGCTTACATGGCTCAACATGCACCTGATTTTTATAGGCTTTGGAATAACAAACCACTCTTTAATCTTGAAGAGGCCAGACGGAACAGAACATTCTTTAAAATAAGGATAACAAATTATGTAAAAACAATTTTACGTTTTAGAAAAATTATGACATTTACCAACTCACTCAAGTCAGCAAAATTATATAAGTGAAATCATTTGTTTAATGCCATTATAGACATGGAGACCTACTTTTCATTTTTTTTAAATTTTATTTTAAAAACAAATATTGCACTTAAAGTAGCCCTATCATGCCAAACTTACCTTTCCCCAATCGATTCCTCTTCTCTACCTCTCTCAGTATCTGTTCTTCATTTATTCCTGTCTGCTCTAGTTTTCTTTAAAACTTAAGAAAACGTAGGGACTATT